TCTCTCTCTCTCTCTCTCTCTCTCTCTCTCTCTCTCTCTCTCTCTCTCTCTCTCTCTCTCTCTCTCTCTCTCTCTGGCGTTTTCACACACATACACACGCACACACGCACACACACACACACACACTCTCTCTCTCTCTCTCGTTTTCTCACCCTCTCTTTCCCTCATGTGCCACGTCCATTGTTCACATGTGCAGGTGATCATGCAGGCGACCGATCCGCGTGGGGACGGGTCGTCGTTCATCCTGGGCATGCGTGTCCCGACGAAATACGCGTATTGGGTGGAATTGCTCGTTATTCAAGTCATTGCTCCCCAGTCTTCGCTCCTCGGCCATCTCTGCGGCATCCTCGTCGGTGCGTTCACACAAGTTCTTGTCGTTGCTGTGTATGTGTGTGTATGTGCATGCACGCCATCTGTTGTGTGCTTGACGCTCTCCGCACATGCGCACTCTTCAATGTAGCAGAATCCTTGCTCCCCCTCCTCCTCCTCACCACCACCACCATGCAGGCCTTGCGTACGCGCGCGTGCTCAAGTCTGACCTCCCACGCCAGCTCCGCACTGGCCGAAACGGCCACCGTCCCCAATCGTTCTGGGACCGCCCCGGTGACCGCCCAGACAGATTCACACGTGAGTTGACACGAGTACATTCATGTGAGAGTGCGTCAGACAGAGTGTGCGTGTGTGTGTGTGCATGTGTGCTGCTCTGCTCACGGCACGCTACTTTGTGCGTGGGTTGTCTTCCTCCAGGCGTGGCGTCTGCAACTGGGCACAGGGGAGAACAACAAGACGCTCAACAGCAGCAACAGCAGCAACAGCAGCAACAGCAGCAACAGCAGCAGCAGCAGCAACAGCAGCAACAGCAGCCGACGCAACCCCCGGCATACTCCCGATTCACACGTGGGTGGTTCTTGCGTGTGCACCTGTGGTGGGACACTTCACTCACACGTCAGCACACTTCATCTTGACCCGCTGTCATTCATCTCAAGCATGCACCTCCATATCCCTTCTTGACGGTCCTCTTCTCACTGTTCCTGTGCGTGTGCCCCCCTTTATTCGTTTTTTTTTTTTTTTTTTGTGTGTGTGTGTGTTGGTTGCCTTGGTGCAGGCGTGTCAGCTGCGACGGGCTACAGGGATGACGAACGGGTGACGCGTGATGCGAAAAGGGCAACAGAACAACAACAGCAGCAGACACAGCATCAGACACAGCAGCAGCAGGGGCGAGACCGTGGCGCAGCAGCTGCTGCTGATGCTGCAGCAGCTGATGCGACGGATGGGGTTGCAAGCAACGCTTCATCTGCACAGGGGCTGAGGCGAAGGAGGATGCAATACTACCAGCAGAAGCAGACCAATATATCATGACACGATGTGCCCGCCTGCCTGCCTGCATGCCTGCCTCACATGATGGTGCTCTTGCCTTGTTACACTGTCGCTTTGACGGCGCCGCTGGCTTGCTGCTTTGGGGGTCCCGCCACAATACATGGGTGATGAGGATGATCGTCTGGCTGGTGAGGTGGGGATGCCGACGCGAGAGAGAAGCACCACCAGCCACTCGCACTGCCGCTGCACTTTATGGTGTCGCTGTCGTTCTCCATTGATGATGACTCATCAGTGACGCAAAAGGTTGGAGATGGAGGCAGGGAGCGAGCGAGAGGAGCATGTTGTGCTTCATCAGTGTGTTGAGTTGGGAGCGGGTGTGTGCTGATTGCTGTTCAGCAGCAGGGTGATGGGCGGTTCCCCGCGTCGTGCCCATTTCGTTCATCGTTCCCGACTCTGCACATTATCACCAACATTGAACAGGTCAAATCAACAGGCAGAAGCAAGAGCACAACAAAGAGGACAACGAAGCAAGAGCACAACCAACCAACTAACCAAACAACCAATCAACCAACCAACCATGAGCAACGCCACCGCCCCCATCACCCATGAGCCGTCGTTCTCCGACCAGGCCGCCTTGCTCAAGGCTCCAGCGGATCTCCTCGCAGAGGTAACAACAACAGCAACAACACTGTGTCTGTCTGTGATGAACGCGCGTGAACAGCCATACTCACACTCACACACTAACTCTCTCACGTGTACTTATCATCCTGCTTATTCTGCCACGCTCCGTCTCATGTGACGCGTTCGTTACCTCCCTCGTGCAGCCCGACACGCCGCCCCAGAAGTGCCACCCGCTGTCGTGCTGCCTCGGCACGCTGTGCTGCCCACTCAGCTTTGGCTCCACCCTCCTCTCGTACGTGCACTCATGTTCTGCGATCCTTCATGCTCCTGACACTCTGTCCTCTCACTCACTGAGCAGCGGCGCAACCAACTGACTTGTGGCACCGACGCTGGCTGCTCACCTGCCTTCATTCTGCCGTGCGTGCATGTGATAGCTCCTTCTTCACTGTGAAGCAGCAGAATGAGGCTGTCATCCTCCGCTACGGCCGCTACGAGCGCACCATCAAGACCCCAGGTGCGTGGCACACATCTCGTGCGTGTGTGTGTGTGTGTGTGTGTGTGTGTGTGTGTGTGTGTGTGTGTGTGTGTACGTGCGTGTGTGCGTGCGTGTGTGTGTGCGTGCGTGTGTGTGTCGCTTCTCTGCCAGCCAGCATCATTCACATTCGTTTCATCGTCCAAGTGACTCCCTTTCTCTCTGTTTTCTCTTTTCTCATCTCCCTCCTCCCGCCCCGCCTCCTCTCCTCTCACATCACTGCTGCGCCCGTGCCAATTGCAGGCCTGCACTACAGCAACATCTTCGGGCGCACGGTACTGCCGATCAGCAAGCAGATGCGGTCCATGGATCTCCCCGACGAGCGAAGCGGCCGCCGCACTGTCCTCGACAAGGAGGGCAACCCGCTCATCGTCTCAGCCGTCGTCATCTACCAGGTGCACACCCTATTTTGTGTGTGTGTGCATGTGTGTGCATGTGTGTGTTTGTGCACATGTGTGTGTCATATGTGTACGTTGCATCTTCCAGCTACTTTCCCTCCCGCCTGTCTCCGCCAACACCACCACCACACACTCGCACCACCTTACCCCTCACCCTACCACCGCGTGTGCAGTTTGTGAACAGCTACCGCGCCGCCATTGAGATCTCGCGACCAACGGATTATCTCTCAAACCAGGGCGAGGCCGTCCTGAAGAACGTGAGCACTGCCATGACGCTCGGTGCAGCACGATGGCCCTTGTCGTGGTGATGAAATGCTTGCAAGCAAAGCAAAGCAAAGCAAAGCAAAATGTTGCCTTCTCGTCATTGCTCACCACGTCGCATTGTTCCACTTGACAGGTGATTGCAAACTACGTGTATGAGTCCCACGACGACAGCCCAAGTCTGCGCACACATGTACGAAAGCGACGGGGGGGGAAGCGAAGCGGCAATCATGATGAGACAGTGACGTTATTGTTGATGGTTGTGAAAGATATGTGGCAGCGAGGGTGCAATGGCGTGTGCCGTGACATTTTGACGACTATGCAAGTGCTGACATACCTCACCCTGCTTGTTGAATTGTCAACCCACTTTCCCCACCACACACACACACACGCACACACACACACACACACACACACACTGCACACACACACACACACGCAGTGTAACATGGTGTCGCATGAGCTGCGCGAACGCCTGCAGGAGCGAGCAACGGCTGCCGGAATTCTGGTCCACCACTTTGATCTCAAGGAGGTGTCATATGCGCCCGTCGTGGCTGCGGCCATGCTCAAGCGACAGCAGGTGCGCTGCTCTTGGCGTGAAGTCGTGTGCACGTGACATGCATGTGTGTGTGTGTGTGTTGGGGGAGGGAGCACACCCTCTCTCAGAGTACGTGTCAACCTCTTCTTTGAACGACACAGCGGCCTCATCCTCACCCACATCTCTCAACCCCACCTCCCACCCTCCCTTCCTCCCTTCCTTCCTCCCAGGCCTCTGCTGTGATTGCTGCGCGCCAGGCCATCGTCTCCGGCGCCGTCGACATCGCAACCACGGCTGTCGAGAGCCTCAGGGTGCGACCACCACCCAACATGTTGCGCGGAGGACAAGTTGTTGTGCATTCTGCTGCTGCTGTGTCTGTTGCTGTGGTAATTGTTGCTTTGTTCACACGCTGACACCTCCGCACACACGCACACACACACACACACACATACATACACGCACACACACATACATACACACACGCACACACACATACATGCATACACACACATACAAACATACAACATCTCGCACCGCCACAGGAGCGCGGTGTTGAGTTGGAGTCGGCGGAATCCACGCGTCTCGTCAACAACTTGCTCACCGTCATCTGTAGCGAATCAGACGTAACCCCAACCCTCCCGCTCTCGTAGATGTCAATCCACACACCATCTCCATCACCGCCGCCGCTACCACTGTGGCACGTGTTCCCTTTGTCCATTTGTGCATGTGTGCACGTGTGTGTGTGTGTGTGTGTTTTGGGCTTTCAACCACTGCGTTTCTCACCTGTGTGGTTGCACCTGCGTGTGTGTGTGTGTGTGTGTGTGTGTGTGTGTGTGTGTGTGTGTGTGTGTGTGTGTGTGTGTGTGTGTGTGTGTGTGTGTGTGTGTGTGTGTGTGAATGCCTTTGTTTGTTCTCAACCTCCTACTGGAGCCCAGACTGAATCTGGAAACTGAATTGTGGCTGTAGATGTGTACATGTGTGTACGTTCGGGTGTGGATTTACATGTGGTGTTGTGCGGTGGCTTGCTGATTGCTTTGCGAAGTCGTTTACATTCTGTTCCTTGTTGATAACCGACATTGCGTAAAATCCCAAAACCGAGAACCACAATAAGCAGAAAGAGGTCAGTAACATGCAACAAGCAGTGCACGGTAACACAAACGAAAAGCGGTGGGCCGACAAAGCAGCCCACACGACACGCCGCACATACACACACATATACACACACATATACACACACATATACACACACATATACACACACGTACACACACGTACACACATGTACGTGTACTCACACGCACGCACACACACACTCATGCAAAGCTGCGCTTGATGTCGACGTGTGGAAACTGTTGCCGCAGCGCCACCACCGTCTCCATTGAAATGTGGCGGCAGAATGAAACGTCGAGCAAACGCATGTTTGGGCACGATTGCAGCAGGAGCGTCAGTCCTTCCACAGTGATGCTTGATGAACCAAGCAAGTCCAATTGCTCAAGCTCTGTCGCAGTGGGGATTTGTGTGCATGTGTGTGTGAGCATATGAGAGACACGATGAACGAACGCATATTTAGTGTGAACAACAAATGAAATATAAAACAATCACACACACGCAGATGTACGCACGCAAACACACTTTCACACACATACGCACTCTCACACACATACGCACACACGCGCGTCTATCTGACCTGTGCAGCGTGCGAGCTGTGCGAGGTGGGCATCCGTGAAATTGCGGATTGCAGTTGCAAAGAGTTTGCGAAGACGGGGCACGTGGCGGTGCAGTGGTGGTATCACTTCGTTCAGAGACAGCATGCGCGCCCAGCCTGACAGCAGCCAGAAGGAGGTGGTGGCGGTGGTAGGAGGTGAGTTGGCACGTGATGTGTGTTGCGCACGCCTGCTTGTGCGTGCATGAGCGCTGTGCTTGCAGGCAGAGCAGACAGCGTCGCTTCTTCATCATTGCTGCACGCACCAACATCGAGAGACTGCAGGTTCGGACAGCGTGACAGCACTCGAAGCAAGTCCTCTGCAATCATCACAAGTGCAAAGCGTAGACGATGGATGATTTGGGGGAGGTGTGCCGTATGCGCGCGAGATTGGCGCGTCATGCACCGGCAACAAGGTTTGCTCGTACGACGGAACCACACATGTAGAAGCACACATACACACAAAGGCGCATATACATACGCACAAAGGCACACGATAATCACTCATGGCACGGACCTGCTTGGAGGCCACGCGTTCGCCACAGGTCGAGGCTGATCAGCTTTGGGCAGTGCATGAGCGCAGATATGGCCATGCCCACATCGTTGACGTGCGACAACGTATGTCCTGTGGAGGAACAGAGGCAACGGTGGTGGTCGTGGCAGTTGGGCGGCGAGGGTGAGAGGCAGCGATAAGTGTCGCGTCGAGAAGGCGTCAGATGGAGGGACAAATGGACAGGCGCGCACATGCACATGCAAATCTAAACCACATCAGAATAATACCACCCCCAACACACACACACACACACACACACACACACACACACACACACACACACACACACACACACACACACACACACACACACACACACACACACACACACACACACACACACACACACACACACCGAGGTTGAGATGTTCCATGTCGTGCCACCTCGCAATTGCTGGCGCAAGAGCGCGCGAAGAGCAGCTGACATGACGCAACAAAGGAGAATGACATGGCACATGTTGACGTGTCAGTAACACATCAGTCAAGGCTGATCAACAACCACCGTACACACACACATGAATGTATACAGACACACACACGTACACACACACACACATACACACACGTGACCCACGCCAGTGAGACTGTTGTGTGTGCTCACCGCACGCCGTAGAGGTTGAGACGCTTGAGTTTTGTGAGATGACGGAGAGACCGGCAGCCAACGGCGCTGATGTTGAAGCAGCTTTGGAGATCTGACATGCGGATAGATGGGATGCTGAACAGGTGAGTGGTCATTGGGGTTACAATGATAGCTGCACGAACAAAGCTCATACATATACACATGCAAGTACACACACACACACACACACACACGCAAGTGCACACACACACGCACATGCACACAAACAAACACACACGCACCAAGGTCCTCCAGATCTGGACACGTCTTAACGATGATGTCAACAGTGGTGTCGTTGATCATTGCACACGCTTGCAGCCGGAGCACGCGCAGAGTCGAGTGGTGTGCCTGCAAGCAAACAGAGATGAGGTCAGGGGCGACAATAGCTGGTGTATACATACGAACGAACGAACGAACGGACGGACGCGCGTGCATGTGTGTGTGTGTTTGTACACATCTGCATGTGTGCATACAGCGAGCATGTGTGCATACAGTGAGCAAGTTGCGGAAGGCCGGAAGAGAGACGAATGGCGCGTAACACCAGGAGAGGGACAGCTGCGACACGGGAGGCAGATGCACTGGTGGGCGAAGCGTGATGGCGGTGATGGCGATGGTGGTGATAGCGATAGAAGTCAGATTATGGCATCACTTCAACGTACATGCGGAAAAATACCAGAACTCACAACGGAACAAGCGCACACACACACACACACACACAGACGCAAGCACACACACACACACACACACACAGACACACACACAGACACACTCACACACACACACACACACACACACACACACAGACACACTCACACACACACACACACACACACACACACACACAAACACACACACACACACGGATTCCCATGCGGTTTGGAGGTCGATTGCATCAAGACCACCGATGATTGCATCAACAATGGCAAGGAACCGGCGACACGTCAGCCCAAGACGCAGCTGTCCGACAAGATCAAGGTGGCCTGGCAGTGGTGGTGGAGGTTGTGATTATGATGTAGATGTTGGTGATGATGATCGCGAGGTGTGATGATGATGATGGTGACAAGGTACAAAAAGCAATGAGCAAGACAGCAAGTGGGGTGATACATAACGTGATGTGTGCAAGACGACAACAGCGATACCATAAGCATCACATGCGCTGGCGTGACTCACTCAGGATGGACACGATCATTTCCTCCGGAAGTTCAGTGATGCACACGCGCTCATCCACCGCATCGTCTTCACCGCTGCTGCCATTGTCCCGACCCCCGTCCACATCACCTCCACCATCACCATCAGCACCACCGTCACCATCGAGAGCAGTGGTGTCACCATTGCTGTTCTGGTCAGTGCTGCTATTGTTGATCTGGTCCACTTCTTCGCCCTGCGCCTCCTGCTGCTGCTGCTGTAATGGCCCGCGCTGATGTTGTGCGTTGCTGTCGCCGGCATGAACACCACTGTCCCCATGGCCCTGACCTTGATCACCAGCACCATCACGACCAACACTACCATCAACACCACCACCACCACCACTGGTGTCACGACCCTCAACAGCGCCATCACCACTCTCACCGCTGCCTGTCTCCGCCACGCGTCCCCCAAGTGTGGGTGTCAATGCTGCCACCGCCATCGCCGCGTTCGCCGCCTGCTGCAGTGTCAGCATTTGCATGATCCTCTGTCCAATCGTCACCGTCCTCTCTCCTGGTATGTCCACGTCCCAGTCAAGTCGTCCGTGCTGTTGCTCATGGTGTGCGCGCACCCGTAGCATCTCCACTTCAGCTTGGACAGCGTCACGTCGCTGCTGCCGCCCCTGTTGCGCTTGCTGCTGTTGTTGCTGTTCACCAGTCCTATGGCCACCGCCACCAGCAGCAGCGGTGTGGCTGAACGCGTGCGGGTCTGGGTGCATGGCGGGGATCGGGTGGTGCACGGGCGTGTTGGACAGGAGCCGTTCGATGTCGCGAACAGGGCACCCCCACACCTCCACCGCGTCCAGCTCGGCGTAGTAGTCCAGCCCGCGGCTGTCAAACTCGATGCGCATCGTCAGCGCTGCGAAGGTCGGCGGCTGCAGCGGCGGCGAGAACTTGCGCACGTGCTTTGGCAGCGACGCGTGCTGGGGCAAACCCTGATGACCGGTGGTGGTGGTGGTGGTGGTGGTGGTGGTGGTGATTAGTGTGAGCGGGAGAGGCGGATAGAGAGAGTGCAATTGTATGTATATGTGTGTGTGTGTTGTGTGATTGATTGATTGAGCGACAGATCATCACACCAGCGACAAACCACCCCTTGCCACAAGCATCACCAGCACCCCCCCCCCCATCACTCGATCACAACAACAACAGCAACCCTCGTCGTGCTCACCTCCCACAGCACGCGCCAGCCAGCCGTGCGCTGATAGAGGCGCCCACGCGTGACGAAGTGCAGTGGTGCAGATAGCGCGAGCACACGCACGACAGATCCCGGATTATATGTCTCGAAGATGTCGATTCCGTGCACAAATAATGGCTCCGGGAGCGTGAACTCAACAAAGTCCTGCGGCTCCGGGTGCGAATCGTGATCCACTGAGATGTGACACGTGTGTGTGTGTGTGTGTGTGTGTGTGTGTGTGTGTGTGTGTGTGTGTGTGTGTGTGTGTGTGTGTGTGTGTGTGTGTGTGTGTGTGTGTGTGTGTGTGTGTGTGTGTGTGTGTGTGTGTGTGT